CTCTTAGCCTTACACTGCAGGCTGGCCAAGGAAATGGCAGCTTTATTGTGCTAGCCAGCAGCTTATACCAAATTCTACAGACAAGTGCCCATTCTTGTTCTGTCTTCCTTTAAAATAATAATGAATACCAATTAGTGAAGATAGTTTAAATTAACTTTGGTTTCTTTTAGGTATCCAGTCCCTTAAAAAGGCTAAATTTAACAAGGTACCTCTAGCACATAAACTGTAGACACTGATTTTTAATTCATTCTGGTATGCCACATAATTTCCATACTTTCCCTCCCAAACTCTTGAGAACAGTGGCACCATGTAATACTGGGCTTCAGTGAATGGTTATGGAATGCAGTCAAATTTGGATTGCATTTGTGAAGCCAGCACTAACTTTTTAGGATTATTTTTTCAATAAAGCCAAAGTGTGTAGAAGAAGAAAAACAGTTACAGCAACTCCTTATGATGCTTGCCTATAATACCTTCAGAAACTTGTGGGATATCATTTGTTATATATAGCATGGGAATGAAAAATTTGGATTGTGGAGTTCAAGGAGTATTCTGGTAAATTTCTGAAAACACAAATACCAATTCTTTCTGTACCTGTTCTTGTCACAGATTCATTAAGGCTGGAAAGGACCTCTAAGATCAAGCCTAACTGCTTGATAACTGCTTGCATCACCATGTTCACCATTAAACTGTGTCCCTAAGTGCCATGTCTACATGTCTTGTGAACACTTCCAGGAATGGTGACTCACCATTTCCCTGGACAGCCTGTTCCAATGCCTGGCCAGCCTTTCAGTTAAGAAAGTAAAAGTGTATGCAATAACATCCAATCTAAAGCTCCCCTGGTGCAAATTGAGGCCATTTCCTCTCATCCTGTCACTTGTTCCTAGGAGAAGACTGAACACAGGACTTGAGGCACAGTCTCACCGGTGCCAAGTACTGAGGGATGGTCACTGCTGGCCACACAATTTCTGCTACAAGCTAGGATGCCATTGGCCTTCTTGGGCACCTGGGCACGTTGCTGGCTCATGTTTAGCTGCTGTCAACCAACAGCCTCAGGTCCTTTTCCTCTGAACAGCTTTTCTGCCACTCTGCCCTCAGCCTGTAGCACTGCATGGGGTTGTTGTGAGCTAAGTGCAGGACCGCCGGGTCCTCTGTCTTATTGAACCTCTCTTTGTCATTGTTCGTTCCTTCTTCTGCACTTTTCGGATACTAATTCAACTCCTTATGATGCTTTCCTATAATACTTTTCTGTGTGCATAGGATATAGAAGTAGGCCTTTTGCAGGTCTGCAGCGGAATATTCATTTATATATATTCATTAATATATAATAATAGAATATAATAATAACACAGAATATTAATTAATAATACAGACATGTCTTGATCCACTGGCTAAAATCCAAGTTACAGCAACCGTGCCTATCTAACATTCTCATCCTCCGTAGTTCTTTAAGTGCTTCCAGCTGATTTTTGGCACAACTCTCTTTGGGATGAAGGAGTTGAGAGGTGAAGAAGGAAGAAGTCTAAGATACCAACATTTCTAGAAGTTTATGAAACTAAGAATCTGAGGAAATGAAAGATGCTATATTAAAATCCCCAGGTCTGTGTTGCAAACTGACCCATTATCAGGCATAGTGACTCTACATGGGGGGAAAGACAAAGCACAGCTGGAGGACAGTAGTACCTTACAGCTAGGGGATAGTATCTTATCAGTTACCAAGGAATCCAATCTTGCAACAGCAGGTTTCATTAGTTCTTATGCTCACAGAGCTGCTTTCTTTAGTTTGCTGGTTCAGTTGGCAGAAGCAGTGAGGTTTACAGCCCTCTTGTTTCAGTTTAATACCATGTAGCAGAGTACTGGTTTTGCAACTTTAAAAATGAATTAAATTAATAGAACTAAGGGGACCCCAATCTTTAATGCAGGAATACCTGTTAAAGCAATTATTTAGGAAATTCAAATTATATTTCACCGAAATATTAGCAAATTCTACTCCTTTCGCAGAGAATGAAGGAAAAAAGGGTTTTTTGGATTGAATGGTAATTTCTTAATGACTGGCTCAGTGAATAAGTACAGACTGCTGGGCACTGAGCCATTCATTGGAAGGGGAGCTCTTGAGTGATATCAGTGGAGTTCCATATCTATGCAGTAATGTCTCAAGATAATGCCAATACAAAACAGAATGGTGTTTGATATTTTGGAGAAGACACAGACAGGAAAACTTGGAAGTGTAATAAATGTATGTTTAGTAACATGCTTTTTTGATCAGAATGTTGTTAGTAATGCCATATTGAGCCTATAGAAAATGAAATTTTAAAATAGAGCTTTCTACAAGCACATTTTCCTATGGCTTTATAGCTTGTTTCATAGCTAAAATTATATAAGCTTGAGATTTTCTCTGGTGTTCTCCATGTTTTATGGAATGTTTCAAGAACAATATAATCTTACAGAAGTGTATTCTGTGGAGTGCAGTTTGTACATCGAGGGAATTGCTCACGGAGTACAACATGGCTCGTTTTGCAAGCCTTACAGCCCTGCACCTTCTTTCACCTCAGTCACAGTCTTCTCTGATTATTCTGTTCCTGATGCACTGATATGCAGCTTTCAAAGAAAGAAAAAAAAAAAAGACATATTCTGTGGTGGTTTTTGGTATGCTAAAATGGAACAAATGCCTTCACAGGGGTGATAGCTATGGTGACTTTGGACTGATCTTACGCTAATGACAAAATCCAAGCCCATATATTGATTGCTTGCATGTTTTGCACTTCATTCTCTGCAAGCCAGTTGCAGTAACGGGCACAAACAAATATAAGTAAGTTTTACTTAAAATCTTTTAATCTTGTGATTTTGGTAGATGATACTCAGTGAACAGGTCAGATAAGTTTGAAATTTGTGTTGTTTTCTTACCTTATCACAACTGTCCTGGCTGTTTCCCTTCACTTTTGGGAGTTAGGTGCTGCATTGCTACATGGTTGATGCATTTATCATTGCAATGTCTGCACCTGGGGCAAAGCACAAATGGTGAACTTCTCACTTGCTTCAATATTCTTGCAGTGTTTCAGTAAGAGGGCAGTTCACAGGAATAAATGCATGTTCTCATGCTCATGAAAGCTTTTGTTATTAAACAAAGAGGCACTGCACCATTTTATGCATGTCAGTCAAGCTTTCGGTCAATGCTGACCTCTTTCC